AATTTTGTATTTTCTACAATTTTTATTATTTTTAAATTTATATTAAAATGTCTTAAAGCATTTTTGTTTTAAATTATTATCAATAATTTTCTTAATTTTATTATTTTTTATTATTTTTTAAAATTTATATTAAAATATTTTGTTTTTAAGTACAATTATTGCTATTGCAATTATTGCTACTGAAAGCATTTTACTTAATTGCTCTAAATTATTTTCCAAACACAATTTTTATTATTTTTAAATTTATATGAAAAAGGTCTTTAAGCACATTTGTTAATTGTTTTAAATTATTTCTAATACTTTATATATTTTACTACATTTTTTATTTTTCCGATAATTTTGTATTTTCTACAATTTTTATTATTTTTTAAATTTACATTAAAATGTCTTAAAGCATTTTTGTTATTTGTTTTAAATTATTTCCAATAATTTTCTCAATTATTATTTTTAAAATTTATATTAAAATATTTTGTTTTAAGTACAATTAGTGATTACTTAAAGCATTTTTAGTTAATTGCTCTAAATTATTTTCCAATAATATATATACACTCATCAACATTTATATTGCATCACCCAAAATTCAAACGATACTACTGACTAAATAATAATTTTACTTTTAACCGAAAAGTATCTCAAGGTTATTAACATGTTTAAATAGCTATTGGACTAAGGATAAGCATAAATGCGGCGAAAAATACTGTCGTACGTGTTCATGCTTAAAAGATACTAGGCACGATTGTTGCATGCATTCAAAGTCGTAAAAGGCAAACAAAAAATCGTTCTCGAGGGACTGTTTAGCTTTATCACTTATACGATTTGGCTGCATGTAACAATCGTGCCTAGTATCTTTTAAGCATGAACACGTACGACAGTATTTTTCGCCGCATTTATGCTTATCCTTAGTCCAATAGCTATTTAAACATGTCAAACATCTATGCAGTTTTGAACAAAGTTTCTCCTTGTGTATATTTAAACACCTAATACCTCTGAATGTTCGTTTACAATCTTTACACGTTATTTCCTCTGCGTCGGAAACACAAGGGGGTGAACTATGACAATTAGGGCAAGTATAAGGACATTTAACATGCTTATCTCTACTAGCATAACGTTTTTGGCATGATTCGCAAAAATCACTTGTTGAAAAGGCTGATGTTAAACTAATTATGAGATTATAATGGTTATTTTCTAAAATTAAATTTATTGTTTTACGTGTGTCTTTTGGCTCCCCCTTAAAATATGTCTCGCTACCCGTTCTATTATTGTACACAACAATCGTAAAATCTTTTTTTAAATAATCTTGAAAACATTTAATGTCTTCAAGACTCCCTCCATTTGAGAGATCCACGTTAGCAGCCCTAGATAATTCTCTACCGCGTTGTTTTAAAAGATTAGGTTTTGATTTAAGTTTTTTAAAATCGGTAATATCGCTACGATGGGCTATTCCCAACGCTAATGCATAGGCTAAACAATAATTATCATCATTATTAACAGTTACGATACCGTATTTTCTCCTGCAGAATTCGCTGTAAGTTGCTCCTTTTAGAGGTTGTCTTCCATGGCCTGTTGGAAGCTGCACCCTGTCGATAGCCATAGTAAGCTTGTTGTTGGTAAAAAAACTGGAGTTGCTCTGTAGCACCAGCCCCAGAGTATTGAGAATGACGGCTACAGTCATTTGACTTCTATTTCTTAAAGATATCGCCAATGGCCTGTCCGGAAACTCCGTGTTTGTAAAAACAATTCCAACTTTATCATTATCATTGAATCCACTCATTCCATGTGTAATCAAAGAATCCAAACCGTCCTAAAAAATTTAATATAAATTTAAAAAAATACAAAATTATCGGAAAAATAAAAAAATTGTAGTAAATATATACACTCATCAACTTTTATACTGCATCACCCTGTATTTTTAATTTAGAACTGTATAATTCATGTTTATACTTTTAGTTCAAACTGTAGTTAAAAAAGAACAAAAAACATTGTCAATTAATAACCTTGAGATACTTTTCGGTTAAAAGTAAAATTATTATTTAGTCAGTAGTATCGTTTGAATTTTGGGTGATGCAATATAAATGTTGATGAGTGTATATATATTATTGGAAAATAATTTAGAGCAATTAACTAAAAATGCTTTAAGTAATCACTAATTGTACTTAAAACAAAATATTTTAATATAAATTTTAAAAATAATAAAATTGAGAAAATTATTGGAAATAATTTAAAACAAATAACAAAAATGCTTTAAGACATTTTAATGTAAATTTAAAAAATAATAAAAATTGTTGAAAATACAAAATTATCGGAAAAATAAAAAATGTAGTAAAATATATAAAGTATTAGAAATAATTTAAAACAAATAACAAATGTGCTTAAAGGCCTTTAAATATAAATTTAAAAATAATAAAAATTGTGTTTGGAAAATAATTTAGAGCAATTAAGTAAAAATGCTTAAAGTAAGCAATAATTGTACTTAAAAACAAAATATTTTAATATAAATTCTAAAAAAATAAAATTGAGAAAAATTATTGGAAATAATTTAAACAAATAACAAAAATGCTTTAAGACATTTTAATATAAATTTAAAAAATAATAAAAATTGTGGTAAAATATAAAGTATTGGAAATAATTTAAAACAATTAGCAAAAAAATGCTTTAAGACATGTTAATATAAATTTAAAAAATAATAAAATTGTGGCAAAATATAAAGTATTGGAAATAATTTAAAACAATTAACAAATGTGCTTAAAGACCTTTTAATATAAATTTAAAAATTGTGTTTGGAAAATAATTTAGAGCAATTAACTAAAATGCTAATATAGCAATAATTGTAATTAAAAAACAAAATATTTTAATATAAATTTTAAAAATAAAAAATTGAGAAAAATTATTGGAAATAATTTAAAACAATTAACAAAAATGCTTTAAGACATTTTAATATAAATTTAAAAAATAATAAAAATGTGGCAAAAATATAAAGTATTGGAAATAATTTAAAACAATTAACAAATGTGCTTAAAGACCTTTTAATATAAATTTAAAAATTGTGTTTGGAAAATAATTTAGAGCAATTAACTAAAATGCTTAAAGTAAGCACTAATTGTACTTAAAAACAAAATATTTTAATATAAATTTAAAAATAATAAAAATTGTGTAAAATATAAATTATTGAAAATAAAAAGTTACTTACCGCAAGCCAATCAAGTGGACTTTGATTATTGGAATCAAAATCTCTAAATTTGAATATCATTCTCCTTGCTGTTAAATTAAAACGTGGAATTAAATGTTCGTATTCGTTCTCCAAAATGATATTGTTGAACTGTTGAGAAGCCATCACTGCACTGCACTAGTCAAACAACACAAATAATACACGAATAGTAGTACTACTACTACCAAGAGCTTTTTGTAAACTGTGTAGCATCAAATGATTTTTCGATATCTGTGCGCTCTGACGACATCCCCCCCGCCTACTAGTCCGAAATAATTTTGGAGGTGGGGCTTCTTTTTCAGGTATAAAATAAGTATTTGGAAGACTTAATGAAATTATTGATTATATTCAACTTGAATAAAAAGTGCCTTTTTTTTAAAAATTGTTCAAAAAAAAACAAAAAATCATCATGGACAGAGTATGGGAAGAAATTAATATGGATTCTCCCAGGTATTGTGAGAGACTGGGGAACGTATTTACACCAAAATCTCTTAAAGTTCTCTGCAGACAGGTTGTAAATTCCAAATTAACTATGGCCAAAATAGTAAGCGGAAAATTACCGGCGATTCTTAATGGTGAAGTGATCCAGAACAGAATTGTCGATTTCATAACTGGGCATGAAATTGACAACTCATTAGTGCGCAGACGAAGTCTAAGAAATATGCAGGTTAACGCTAGATGGACTAAAAAAGCAGTAGAGCAGTTATGGAGCCGTGGGTTTAGCATACATGCTATTCGCCCCATAATAGAACTGCTTATCCCATATAGGGAATATTACTGCACAATTAATAAATTTTATTCCACTACATACGGGCATATGTGCAACAGCTGCTGGGATGACAGCTATGCTCTGAAAAATTTTAATTTACATAATTACAGCGCAGAGCATAGGCACTACTTGGAGTTCGAGGAACTTTTGAACTTATATTTATGGCCCGAAAATTGGTGTAATTTTTGCAATCGTCGGGTCCTATTCGACGTGGTGCGATCTGGAACATGCCATTTTCCCAGCATTGAGTCTGGTGAAATAACAGATATAGGCGAAAGCGATAGCAATAGCGATGATACCGACACTGAGCATATATAAAGTGTTTTTTTTTATTTAGATTATTTAATTAATTTTTGTATAATTTTTTAATATATATTTAGGTTTAATTTTTATTTTAATTTAATATTTAATTTAATTTTAATTATATATTTTGTTTTTTTATTTTTGTATATTATTTATTAATTTTTCTTAAATATAATTAAAAATTTTAATACCTTTTTTCTTGCATAATTTTTCTACCTATCATAGAAGAAGATAATAAAAAAATACTGAGATTAGTAAGTATATAGTATAGGATTATTATAGGATATAATTAAACAAATTCTTAAGCCCTAATACATTTTTATTTAGGTATAATTAAACATAAAATCTCTTTGCATTTTTAAGTAATTTTCTACCTACCATAGAAGAAGATAATATAAAAATACTGATTAGGTATAATTAAACATATTATTCATATGCATATAAAGTAACATTTAATTTACTTTTTGTCCTGATTATTTTTCCATAATTTGGGACTAGCAATAAAAAAAGGTATATTACTTTATCTCTGTCAACCCCCACTAGAGTATCATACATTTGGTAGAGAAATTATTTTAACCTTTCCTTTCTCCAGCACGTATCCGCCCCCTACATGTATTTGATATACTTTTAGATGTGCGGAAAAAAGCTATAAAAGCTTTTTTTTAAAAAAACATTTACCATTTTATATTTTTCAATATTACACCACAGACTTTTTTTATTACCATGGATCTAGTTTGGGCGTCTTTGAGTCGTAATACGAGAAAATCTAGTGTAGTTATAGACAATACGTACCAGCCCAAAACTTTAAAAACAATGTGCAGAGAGGTTATTAATTCTAATATAAACACAAGTGAAGTGATTGAAGCTCATCTTAGTGAGACAGTGGTTGGCGAGGTCTTTCAAAACCGAGTTCAAGACTTCGCCATGAGCTTTAATTTGGACAATTCGGTGTTGTATAGAAATATATTTGGCCCCATAACCGACTGTTGGGGTGAAGAAGCATTGAGTCGGTTTTGGGGGTTTAGGACGGATGGGGGTATGATAGAATCCATTTTAAGAGCAATATTACCGGCCGCAGAGCAATTCTGCATTATAGATAAGTTTTACCATACGACGTATGGTAGAGTATGCGAACTTTGCGTGCAGCAGAATTGCCTGCATAGTGTTCCGGAATTTCGCATTAAAATGTTCAGCCGGAATCATATCCCCATGCTGTTGAGTGAAATAAGTGATTTGGTTCTTCACCCTGACAGCTGGTGTAATTTTTGTACCAGGCGGCTCCTCGTCGACATCGTGCCTTCGAGTAGGTGCCACATGCCATACGTGGTAGACGGGGACCCTGACCCCTGCGAAGAAATCTACCCAGCTGAAGTGGCCGAAGTCGTCCATGAAGGCCTTTTTGACCCAGATGACTTTTTTTTCGACCCTGAAGCTGATGATGGTTTTGTAGATGGGGAGGAGGACCAGGCAGAAGAACCCGAAGAAGACCACGGGGGCCATAATATCAATGATAGTGTAAAAATATTTATTAGGTTTAATTTTAATTTAGGTTTAATTTTAATTTAGGTTTAATTTTAATTTAGGTTTAATTATATTTTAGAGTAAATTATATATATATATATATATATATATTAATGTTTAATTTTTATTTAGGTTAAATTTATTTATTTTTTGTATATTTAGAATATTTTACACATTTTTCCTTAAATATAATTAATGTCTGTATAATTTGTAATATATATTTTAGGTTAAATTATTTATTTTGTCTTTTTTTTATTTTTGTATATTATTTTTTAATTTTCTTAAATATAATTAAAAAATTTTTACCTTTATCTTGCATAATTTTTCTACCTACCATAGAAGAAGATAATAAAAAAAATACTGAAATTAGTAAGTATATATATATATAGGATTATTATAGGATATAATTAAACAAAATCTTAAGCTTAAATACAATTTTATTTATTTAGGTATAATTAAACATAATACCGATTTGCATTTAATGTTACATTCAATTTACGACCTATATTACTATATACAAAATAATCAAATTTATTCAATAATTCTAACCAAATCATGTAATTATTATATCTAGGGCGAGCTTCTATAAAACATTTAAACATATTATTATCATAGTAATGCTGATCATCACGTAAAATTTCCACAATAAGGTCTTGTAAAATCGAATTAAACGTCTCCGACAGGCGTAGTTTTTCATACTCTTCAGTTATATATTCGTGAAATGATCTTATTTTGAGTAATTTTTCTAAAGTAGATTTTTGGAAAATATCATATTTTCCTGATGATTTTGCCATAATTTTCACCAAGGTCCTGTTGTCTGTTAGAATTGTGATGAGATGGGTTGATAACTCATATTCATCTCGCTGATTCTTGTCATCCAAAATATCTGGTATATTCCGAATAATTTCATTAAATGCTGTACAAGTAAAAGTTAGTGCATCGTATTCTTTGTTTTGTTTACATAACTTTACTGTAATTGAAAAATCATTATAAGGGTTTATTCCAATAATGTAGAAGCGACTATTTGATAATATAATAGGTACTCTCGTTTCGTTTAATAAATTTTTTTTTTCATATTCCATAATTTTTGCATTTTTCTCAAATTCCGTGTTCGTGCGATCAGCCATTTTTTTTATTCAGTTGTTTTATTTTACTAAAATAATAAAAATATTGTTAAAAATATATGTATATGTTTTAATTTTAATACGCATTAAAAATATACAACAAATGATTTAAAATTATTTAAACAAATATCTACTCACTTTTTTTTAATAAAAAACAATTTCGATGTCTTCTTGAATATGCTTGGGGTTCAAATTTTTAAACTCAACTGAGGTTTGTTATTTAACGTGTTCTATATTTATATTAAAAAAAGCTACAGACAAGTTATGACTTGTTGATCAGCTATGCATATGTTACATATTATGTTCTAGCCATTTTTATGTATTTTTATTAATATTTTTAATAATTTCCTTAAAATATTTTTATTATTAAATATCTGTCATAAAGTGTAAATACCAAAGATATCTTAAAATCTACCTGTTTTATTCTTTAAAATAAAATTCAAAGCCTATAAAAATTTCTTTGAACCAACCATATTGAAATTCTCGCAATGCCAAACAAAACTTTTGTTCACCTTCCTGTTACCTACCTGTATTTTCTCATTTTAGATTTTATATGCCTTTGGCTATTTCACGTACTTTGTAAATCCCTATAATGAAAATAAATTTAAAAGAAATGCATTGTTGAATAATCCCCCTTTTGTTCAGCAGTGTAAAATCTAATACTCGACTAGTTTATGCACCTATACCTATATTGTATACAAAGTGTTTTTTGTTAAGCTGTAGGAATGCCTGAAAATAAATGTATACAAAGAACGTTTTTTCTTTTGCTAGATGCGTTTTTATGTTTAACGACCAAATCTTTTTTTGAAAATACCGACAACCTGTTTACTTTTCATACTACCCCAAAATCTAAAGAAATAAAAACTAAATTCTTGCTACGTATGGTACACCTGTGCTTTATAAATCCCTAATAATAAAAAAAAACCTTTGTTAACATATTTTACCAAATATAGGGACTCTCACGCTCTGAGATATGCCTCCCAAGCTTTTAATCAAAACCTGTCATATCTAAATTACTTTAAAAATAGAATAATAAAAGCCGGGACCATTGTTGACAATAGTACACATTACTGTCGGCTAGCTTTACGTGTGTTACACCTATGCTTTTTTTTTTTAATCCCCCTAATAATAAAAAACATTCTTAACATATTTTTCAAATTTTACTGACTCCCACGCTCTGAGATATGCCTCCTAAGCTTTTAATCAATAAACCTGTCATACTTAGATTACTTTAACAATAGAACAATAAAGCCAGGACCATTGTTGACAATAGAAAACATTACTCACACGTCCTGATATATGCGCGGCTTTTGTCAAAATTTAAAACCTGTCATGTCTAAATCACTTTAACAATAGAACAATAGAAACACCATTGTTATTTTTTTATGAAAACAATAGAGCCTTTGTCTCTCAAATTGCCTCAACATGTGCCTTCCCTTCTTCTTATGTCTTTTGTCAAATTATCTAAATAGTGCTGCTCACATTCTTTCTCTTGTTTAGTGTAGTTTTTTGTCTTAGGGCACTCTTAAAGACTCCAGAAATTCTCTACTAAATTATTTAAATTCGAATCACAAGTAGAAAAATAACATTTAATTGTATTTTGAAATTCAAATGAAATATTACCTGATATAATCCACCCTAGTCGAGTGTTTTGTAAAATTGGATTTTTATTGCCCGTATTAATTTTACCATCACATAAGATATCAAAGAAAACACTGGCACCTAATAGTATGTCAACAGGGCCAGATTTATAAAAAGTTTCGTCTGCTAACGATAAATTATTTGAAATATTAAAGCTTGAAAAATCTAAGTTAATTTGAGGCATGTCTTGAGTAATTTTATTTACGATTAAAAATGATTGTTTTGTTGAATATTTGTTGTCAAGAGAAAAAATAGTGGCTTGGGTTTTTTTGCGAATGTTATTCGTAGAGTTATTAATTTCTAGAACCGGTATGTTTACGTCCGAGTATGGCAAATTTAGTTTTTAAGCCAGCTGGGCGTTTATAAAATTGGTCATTGACCCTGTGTCTAACAGACACCTACACTTATGTTTTTCGCCTAACAGACACCTACACTTATGTTTTTCGCCCGCCGCATCGCTAATATAAACAATCGCAGTTGCTAAGAGAACTTGACCTATATTCGGCTGTAAAGAATGATTGGTTACTGTCAGCTGATCAGATGCGTTTGCGATAATTAAATTGTTGCTTACATTATTTGAATTTAAGGACGGAGTTTCCTTGGAATTTTCTTTATTATCGTTAAAATGTAATAGTGTATTATGTTTTTTGCTACATACTTTACAATTCCCTGATTTGCAATTTTCGGCGAAATGAAATGGTCTTAAACAATTAATACATAATTTGTTTCTTCGTACTTCGTCGTTACGCTCATTTACATTTATGTTTATAAACTTTTCACATAAGTTGTTAAAATGTGAGCCTTTGCAAAAGGAACAATTTATTTTTTGTGTATTTAAATGGCTTACAACTTTCACGTCTGTATATTTAAATTCAAAACTATTTTTTGTATAACTTTTATGATTTTTGTTTGTTTCACTTGTTTCCAAAAATTGACACCTATCCGATAAAAAGTCGATGAGTTCAGTTATCTTGGGGGAATTGTTTTTTAATGAGAATTTTTCCCATTCACGTTTTGTTTCAATGTCTAGTTTTGTGCATACCGTGTATATTAATAATGTATCCCACTGGTCTGTGGGTTCTCCCAAGGACTTAAGCGCTCTATAGTTTTTATTAAAATTATCGATTAATTTGCGTAGTATAAAATACGATTCGGTTTTAATTGGCGGTAAATCAAAGATATTTTTGACATGTGAATGAATTATAAGCTTTTTGTTAAAATACCTTTCCTTCAACAGGTCCCATGCAATTGTGTAGTTATCATTTGTAATTTCGAGAGAGTTTAATGTTTGAGCCGCCTCACCTTTTAGACAGGATTTCAAGTAGTGAAGCTTTTGTATATTTGATAGTTGCTTGTTTTTATCAATTAAGCTTTGAAATGTTTCGCTAAAATGTGTCCACTGACAATAGGATCCAAAAAATGTCGGGAGTTCTATAGTCGGTAATTTAACCGCGATATTGTCTGAGGGCGAGCTGGAGGGTAAAGGGTTAGTATTTGACGGTAATTGCGCTTGTGAGCTCGCAATTAACATTTCCTTTGCTTTAGCTACGGATTCATAAAATAGTTTTTCAAATTTGAGGCGCTCCTCGTCTTCTGTGGTTAGATCTTCTAATAATTCTATTTCGCATTGTATTTCATTAAATGAGTTAAAAATACTGTCTAGTTTTTCTAATCGCGTTTGTAATTGTAAAGCGTCTGTGTCTTTAAAGTTAGATAAAAATGTGTTAAATCGAGTTAATTGCGCTTTGCAAAGTTAGGTATCCTGCGTGTAGATGAATGGTTGCCTCCGTAATGTTATCGCTGCGTTTTTAAGTGAGTTTCACTTGTTCCTGGGTGAGC